TGCAAGCGCTTGACAATATCAACAGTTTTGACTCCTTCCTTCCACAAAAAGAACATTATTGACCTTTGATTTTTCACCGCGTCTTCCATAATAGAAAAATAGCAAGGGACAGCACGGCCTATAACTCGAGAATGGACTGAGTGCATTGAATGGCATTGACAGGTCCTAATGCTTACATGTTGGCCTACGTATGGGCTGACTCTTGTTACCTTGGGTCTAATCGTTCTTGTTTAATAAATAAATTCCTATTACTTTTCGAACACCCCTCGTATATATATATATTTTTAACAGTATATAGATCTGGTAATGCCTAATTAAAAATACGCTCGAGGAAGCGAACGAGTTATCGGTCAACTGTAGGGTGAAGATATACATGGCGGCTCAGAGTTGCAGAAAAAGAGAAGGCCAAGGTCAAGGCAGTACAATTCCAGGCCAGCTGGACTTCCTTGATGCCAATGGATTTATCATGGAGTAGGACAGACACTAGTGAAAAGAAATGAGCACGTGAAAAGAAATGAGCACGTGAAGTGAGCACGAATAGACCTCGAGGTTCTGGCCATGCACATTTGAGCATGGCCATATGCTATAGGCTAAGTTTAGGAAGTTGCAGTCATGTGGTATTTACTTCGTATCGAGGGATTCGGTTCTCGTGATGCTAGCAAAATAAATGAAGCCTGGTCGGAAAGATTATCGTGACGGTTTAACGTAGGACCCCGCCTTGAACCATGCTGCTTCCCGCCCGTGGTAAACCGGAACCTTCCTGGAAGCCAACGGAATGCATTCAATCCTGTCCTCAAGGACCAGGATCCGGCATTCGTTGGTATCCTCGACTCTGTCCGTTTCGGACCGCCCTAAATAGGGCAGAGAAGAGGGAGAAGTGCGTTAGAATGCCTCTCTCTCCCGTTGTAAGGTTAGGGATGGCGTGGAGAGGTACGACCAAGCAACCTAGGTGCGGTGGTGTCGTGGTAGCACACTCGACTGGCAATCGGGAGATCCTGGGTTCAAATCCCGTCATGTCCGTCGTTTCCTTTTCGTCCTCTCGTGTCTTCCGAGCCGAGAAACGGAGCTGTTCTCGTCGGGAAAAGCTGCACGGCTCACCGACAAGTGATTCCCCGACACCCGTCCCATCGACTTCACTCCCCTCTATTCAAATCAGAGGTACAAGAGGGGGTAGGGTCCTCATTTACGGCGCCTATTGTCTCGATCTCTTTAGAGAATGCAACCAGACCGTCATGATGGGACTCTACGGCGCAAAAGTTTTGCTGGATTTGCATGAAAACGCAACCTTGTGGTTTCAAATCTTCCATGAAACAAATCTCCGAATCGAGCAAAATTATGCTATATTAATGACAGGTAATTAATGTAGCATGTTTACAAACAAAATAAGGGATGGAGCAAAAAGCACTCGTAGGTTGCTACCCTCGAGAAAAAATATAATAAAACCTCGTTTCCAGCTCTTACCCGTTTTTCTGTCGACATCTTGAATCGTTTGCCTCTTCTCCATGGGGCTCCCGAATCCAATTCGGCCGCATTTCGACGTCCAACTCTGCAAGCGCAACGGGACACCGATTCTGCAGAAATTAAAACGCGAGGCTCCGATCCGGTAACACGAGCTCCTCTTTTCCCGCCAGTCTCCCCGTGCAGCTCTTCGACCGACGCCTCCCTTCGGTGAATGCGAATCCCCGCAGGAAGAGAGAGACTCCCGTGGCAGAGGTTCAAAGCATTAATTCGTTTGCATCCAGAGGCGTTATCCCTCCTGGCCTACGGCCCAGATGGGCGTAGGCGTGTAGGCTCCGCGCGTCTGGCGTAGCAGGATTCTAGGTCGGATGGAATGAAAAGTTCCTGAATGGTCGAGGGTTTGGATCGCAGAGAAAAGGTAATAGAGCTGTAGTTCACTTTTTTTTTATCGCGTGAACAAAAATCGTGCTTTTTCACTTCCGAGTTCCTAGAGACAGCCAAACTCAGAGGAGTAAAAAAAAAAAACATTACCAATCTGATATCTCAGGTGGGAGCTAGGCGGGAAAAGCGATGACGTCAAGGACATGCACTTGTTTACGACGTTTCAAGTTGATTTCTCCGAAACTCAACGTTCCGTAGACCGCAGCCAACCTCTGTCTCATTTTCGCCTCATCCCCACGAACCTCAAACAAAAATGCATCAAGTGGATAGAAAGAAAGGCACCGATGCACAGAAAAAAAAAATCCCCGATTTATCTCCGGCACGATATTTTCGGCCATTCTAGCGGACGGAATTGCAGCCTGCACTTCACCCCTAAATAAACGCTTATTTAAACATTTCCACCGGCGCATCGCCGGCAAAGAACGCGTAACTCACCGTAGAAGTCCAGGTCTTGTTCGTTGGGATGCCTCCTCCTCAAACACCAGCCCAGATGGGGGTAGAAGGAAGGAACGGGAGTCAACATTAAACAAGCTGGGGAAGCCCAATCAAGTAGCGTGCCTCTTTTCAGTAAAGCCTCATTTATGCACCTCATTGAACAAAATATTAAGGACCGGAAGGAGATGGCCGTCAAAAAAATGTTTTTCCCTAAATTTAGTAAGTAGAATCGCTGCCCATAAAATTATGGGTTGTGCGCGGTCGGATCCCATCTTTTAATGAAAGATTTCGATCCCAAATGAGAAAAAGGTCGGAAGGATCGGTACTCTTCACTTCGGATTCAGTTTCCACAGTCCACTTTATTCAGATCAGAGTTCATTCACTCCATAATTTCCTATTGCGGACGAGTTTGACGAAGGCGAAGGGAAGGAGCTGCGGAACGTCTGCGAACCATCATGCACAGAAGATGCCTGTCTACACACGACCAGAGATTCCATGAGTGTTGAAAAAAAAGGGGGGAACAAGCAGAGAATGTGAGAGGAAAATTCTCAGAAGAACTGCACGACATATGATAACAATACACAATGGGATTCCATTGGGTCTCCGAGGCTTTTCCCCGTGCGCAAAATTCAGAAAGGTACATTACTCAAGGTGCAATGTGAACAGCGATATCGAATAGGCGATAATGATTTTCTCAACGAACTTTGGAATTTCCTTCTGTGTCTCACCCACCCCCAAAGAAAACTGTCACAATGTTTTGTTTACAGTCTAGTTCATGTTGGGTCCATATTCTCGTGTTGAGGAGTGGGTAAATTTCGTACCGTAACTTGAAACCTAGAGCCGAGAAACACCATGCCTATGTCTAGGGGAGCTCGATTCCTGAGCTTACCAAGACCGAAGATGCACCAGAACTTCTGCTTTCTCATAATCTTGTCCTGCTTAATGATAAAAAAAAAGTTCAAGGGAAATTTTCCTCCTTTATATTACAGGCTGGGGCATGGGATTACGGCCTAGTCTCCACGGTACAACATCAAATACTGCATGACTGTCCATATTATGGGAACAATACTGAAACCGCTATTTCGCGTACTGGCCCCAATTCTGCATTCTGGATCCTTGGAGGTTAAGTGAAGAAACAAGTAACTAACACTAACTAATGAAAGCGCAGAACAGTCCGAAGCAAAACCCTTACGAAAAGGTCCTATAGGTTTTTGAAAAGAAAAACCTATAGAAAACCCATAAGTTTCCCAGAGAATCCTATAGGATACCAATACGAACCAAGAGGAGCTCACAGGCATCCTATAGGATCTTATAGGTAACCTATTGCATCCCTAAAGGGTTCTCCTTTTTCACGTTTCAAAAACCCATATAAATCCTGTAGGACTGCTTCGTAAGGAAAGTGAGCGGAAAGCACTATTGTGAAAAGAATGTCCCACCGAAGTTGACATGCTGTGAGGACCTCAATTTTTGCCTCCTCTTTTTAAAGTTTTGGTGGAAACAGGAGCTCCAATATGAAAGCAAGGAAGGCCAAGGCAAATCCAAATGCAAGTGCATAGAAGATTCCTTGAACATGAATCATCCCGAACGAAATTCGCTTGACCTCAGCCGCGATGCTGATAACTTTGTTGAGAGAGAAGTACGCTCCAAGCGGGAGGATGCTATCCGACATCCACTTGTTGAAGAGTCCAGCATCGCGCAGGCGCAGGATGAAGAGGTCCAGCTTGGGCTTGTAGGGCTTGTACTTGCGGATGGGCCAGGCAGAAGGCAGTGCCAGGAAGGTTTCGTCAGCCACACGGAGCTGCGTCCACGCTGGGTCCCCTGCTTTCCTCAGCTTCCAAATTTCAATTTCCAACTGGTACAGTACATCCATGTACATGTTGTCGGTGGTGATGCGAACAGTGTTCGGGTAAAACAATTTCAGGCGGCTCGCTACGGCCTTATACATTGAGATGTTGGATTGCCGAAAGTTACTGATTAATTCGTCGTTGTAAAGATGGATATAGAAGGGGAGGTTGGTTCTCTCGACGGCATCTTCCAGTGTATTGATCGGGCGGGTCGTGCCAGGGTAGATGATGTAGCTTGATATCAGAGAACAGTACATGAGGGACAATAAGAGACAAAAAAGAAGCCAAAACGTCCATACGAACCGCATTCTTCTCTCCTCGCGATCTAAGTATTTTACGCCTTTCACCACAAAAAGAGAGTAGACCCTGAAGATTTCATTCCCTACCTGGAGGCCTTTGAATGACCTTCGTTTGAAAATCGCAATCGTGATACCCATCGCGACGATGGAGATGGCGCAGAGAATCCAGACGAAAAGGGGGAACGGTCGATAGACGGTGCTTGAGTAAGACAATAGCTTTGGTTTCTGCGTGATGAAGGAATCGCTCTCGATCATGACGAAACTCATGAAATCCACATACTCATACCGGATCCAGGTCTGGGAGATTTTCCCCACGGCGAACTCGGCATCCCCGCCCAGCACCATCCCCATGTGACCATCCCACGTCCCGTTCACGAGACTCCCCGCTCCACCATTCTTCGGGCTGCCAAGCAAACCAAGTAGGACGACGTTAGGTACCTTCAGGTTTCAAGATGTCGACGATGCCTCTCGGAGTATCTACGAAACTGAATATTCAGAATACTTAAAAATACGTAAAATTCACTATTAGATGATATGAGATCGTCGTACACGAACACATCATTTGGTTTGGTATACACATGTATATAAAGATCGTGACCGACCCAGTGATCCTATTTCTAAACCTGTGCTAGGTCCGACAGAAACTTGACCTTTAGTTTGGGACCGTTTGGCTGCCCTTCATCTAACCATTTTCAAAATGCTTTTTCTCGTTCGGAAAGAAGTCAGCCTTTATTATGGAAAATAAGGCGCCATTGCGTCTGCGTTTAATGGTGCCTGTTGACCGCGTCGCAATGTGCGCGAAACGTCTTTCCATGAAAGGTCGCTCGTGCAAAATGTCAATTCGCATTTTCTTTAAAGGAATTCTCTGCCGAAATGATTCAACTCTGGAACTCGGGAGAAAAAATCCACTCGGCCAGAAGTCACTCGCGCGTCGACTGCCGGTTCCCAAGGAAACTATCAGACCTGTTCTGTTTGCTGAAAGAACCTGTTTACTCTCAAAAAAGCCCAGGGTTTTCATTGGATTCCTGATGCTTGTCCTAGGGGATTGGCGCCGTAAAAACCATTCCTCAGAAACAAGGACGCGATATGGAGTATAACAGTTTTCGGAAGAAGTGGTATAATACTGTAGTATAATATTCATGTAAAAAAAAAATAGTCCACTAAAGATGGGACAGCCATGAAGCTTCGTATCGTAACCATTCCCCAGCGAGACTTATCGGCAAATTTTCCGCGGGAACCGATTGAACCGCGAATCTACCAGGATCCCCCGACGGCAAGTGACTGCCACGATCTGGTCAGCGCGATCGCTCCCACCACCAGGACCGGATAGCGGGAAATTGCCTCTGGAGACCACGAGACACCGACCCGGGCCCCTTCAGGCAGCAGACCTACTTTAAGGCAACTTTTTCCTTCTCTTTTTCCTTCTCCGGAAACCAAACGATGAAAGTTGATTGGCAAGTGTGGCGTTCATTGAGATCATTAGCGTAAATTATGCAAATTAGGTCCAATGTGGCCCGCCAGAGCGCAAAAAAAAATGAAAAAATTTTCAAACAGGATTTCTCACAGGTGGTACACATACATTTGACGGAATTAGGTGAATCTTTCCGAAAACAAGTTTTTCCCAAGTTTTTCGGCGACTTTTGTGACCTAATATATTCAATGGTACCAAAAAGAGCTGGAGGACTGAGTAAACGAAAAACGCTACCATCCTTCCTTGGAGTAACGAGAAAATCACGGCCATAAGGTTAGGGACATTGATAAATTAAGCTAATTAACCATTATTATATGTTCAGCCTTTTATGGCGGTATTATGAATCTGCACGAGTTGAAGTATGACTATGTTCAAATATTTGTGGAAGCTTTTCCCCTAAAAGTGACGATTCGAAAGTGGGTCAGCTACCTAAACAGTGCAAGAACTAACGAGTTATTTTGCGTCATTATGTTAAGCCTCACTTGAAAAAAAAAACTTAAGCCATTTGATATGGTTTCCCGATTGCAGAAAACAGGTCTGAAAGGGTTCGGTCGCCTAAGGGTTCTACTCTGGAACATTTTGCATTGGACAGCAGATCTGGCAACCCTGGTTGCAATACTTAACTTAATTAGGTCATGTAGGTACTTTATATCTTACAGGGATGGGGTGACCCGGAAGTGGAAGTGATGGGCCATGGCCTTGAGGGCTTCTCCTTCGAAGCCGGTCCAGTTCTTCATCGATGCATTTGGGGTCCAGTAAAAGAAATATGACACTGGCAGCGTCGAAACCTTGAATTCCACTCCGTGGAAATCATTGAGGAGATCTGGGAAGAGGTTCTTGGATGTGTCCTTAGATCCCTGCCTCCACGTCTGGATGTATTGCATCCCCGGACGAGAGTCGTTGCAAAAGAGACACACGGCATAAAAGGCATACGTATCGGGTCGGACTCTGGTCGCCACCGTGACTGGGATCACGAGACCGGCAGCCCTCTGAATCCAGTCGACCCCTGGAAGAGCCTCGAGCACGAAGAGGGCCTTGCTCGTCCACCACATTTGAGGTCGGATGCGATAGAGAGCCCGGAGTGCCTCCTCGGCCCATTCCATAGATCCCAAGACGATGTAGAAGTCATTCCTGCTGCTCGCATGCTTGATCCTCTCCATGTCTTGAACGGAACTGAAAATTGTTCTCGACAGGTGGTCGCACCCCATCACACCAATATCGCCCGTTTCACTGATGACGAATAGTTGTTGATGCGACTTGAGAGACGAATCTAAAACATGATGAAGGAGTTGCGAAAGGACGCCGTTCCCTTTCGCGTCTCTCCCGATCCGCAAATCCAGCTCTGCTGCCACAGTGCCCAAGGAAGCGAGGAGGAGCACAGAAGGGAGGAGGATCAACATGGTGTCTTCGGCTCCACTGCAGAGGACCGCAATCGTTGCTTGCCTCATATACTTCCCCCTTCCCCGATCTGTGTGATAAACCATGCGGCTTACGTAATTGCGAGGTCAGATTGACCTTGACAGATTTCGTTCTGACGCAGTTTCGAATCTTTAATGAGGCGTGGAAACCCTGGGCCCTCACGGTTCGCAGACTTCATATTTGCTTTCATTGGATCTCTGAGACCCGGATTGCTCCCTGAACAAATTTGCTCTCTGGTTTCCTACTCTGCGGAATGCCTGACGCTCGAATGAGCGGGGACCGTTGGTCGTCATGATTAATGAACGGGCGTCGGGGAAGGTAGCCATGGACACCAATGTGCGATGCTAAGCCCGAAGGAACTACCCCGGAATCGAGAAAACATATGCGTGAGTCATACGAGGAAAATGCACGAAGCTCCGGTTAAAGAGCGCGTCATTGCCAGCGCTGCAATGCCGGCATTTCAAATGACCTAAACGTATCTATTGCAATAAAATTAAAAAAATGATATCTTCAGACCAAAGGGTGAGTGAATCTGCTTCAGGCGCTAGCCGTTACACGAAGGGTACGGGAGGACTCGTTTCTCTTCAAACCTTTTCTCCTTTCGACGTGAGAATTGCCTTCGAGACATACGAGCGCTGCCCTATGAGATGTTCCCCGCCTCCTCCACTTTTTTTTTAAATAAAAATACTGTAGGAGCTAAATGTATGGTGGGCCCCGCATGTGGTGGACCAACACATGACTCTCACCCACCATGGTGAGATCCTCCCAACACCAGGGCTGGCAGAGTGCAAGACCCTGGTGGAGCTGATGTAGCCACGGGAAGGTGTCCCATGGCTATAGTGCGTCGACGTGTCTGGAAACCAGATCCGTCTTCGCGCCTGGATCCCTCCTTTTTTCAGGTTTTAGAATTTACATTTTAGATATAACCAAAGACAGAGCGGCCTTTTACTGAAAATCAACCAATACTTTAATAGGTTAGTGAGTCGGGGCTGGTTAACTTTAAGTCCTCTTGTTCAAAAGGTTTGCGCCCTAGCAATTACGTGAATTTATTTTAGTCAGGGGTGCCCTAGGAAGTGGCCCGCAGGCCATCGCTTTGGGCACCCTTGATCTAGGGTATTTACGTTTTTTAATTGAACATCAATATTTACATCCTATCGGATGTGAGGTGCCAGCTGGCCGAAAGGGCCTTATCAGGCGCCCTGGTGACAAGCGATAGGGCGGGGGTTATGAGAGGTCTGTGCAGAGCTATTCCTAAGGTTCATGCAAAGGGGAAGCGAACGGTGATGTCTGATTACGCCGCAATGTAAGGAGTGGGAGATGATCCGGATTTTTTTTTTTTGCTGATAGATTGTAGGTGGAGCTCGCGCGGCAGAAAAAAGCACTGCCGTCGCGAGATGTTAAGAGGCGTTAGAAAGAGGAAGAAGGCAAGGGACCTGCGGGGTGAAAAGGGTCATGTTTAGTTGGTGGTTAAGGTGGAGGGGGGGGGGGGATGAGTCAGTGGTATCACTAGCATTTCCGAGGCGTTGCATAATTTTATTATAGGGATAGATCTTGGTGTGCTTAAAGCGCCCAATGGTGAATTTCTTATTTAATCTCACAGGAATTTCTTTGATGTCCCCTGACCTTTTAGGGTCGTTATAATAGTTGAGAGGCGTGCCGAGAGAGAGGGGTGAGTCCGCCGATTCTGTATATATAGTTAGAAAAATGAGTGGGAAGGCGTATATTATAGCAGCTCGTTCGATGCGTTCTAGTTGGTCGAGGACTGTCTCTGGGCGGTTTGCCCAAGCAGCGAACGCGTACGTTAAGACCGGGCGGAGGTACGTTAACTTCAAAATTACATTTGTTAACCCCGGCCAAAATCTTCAAACAGTTAAGCTTTCTGATCGACTCGGTGCGGATTACGTTAACGTGTTGGTTCCATCTAAGATTACTGTCAAAATTAAGACCAAGAAAACGGGTGAACCGCGAGCGTGGGATGAGCACACCGTCCAAACAGACGTTTACTGAGTGAGGTTTCCTGTCGCGTGCAAACAAGAGGAAGGATTTGGAGGGATTCATAGTTATACGCCAGTTGCGACAGTAGTAAGAGAGAGCGTTGAGCGCCGCTTGGGCTCGCGACTCCAGAGCAGTAGAGAGCTTTTCCGCCTTCTCCGGAAGTCCTTGCCGGGACTGGCTCGCGAACCGCCGTGATGCGGCCGTTCGTTCTCGCTGGTGATTCCTCAGCATTTTAGTCATGGGGCATATAGTGCTTCCCTACTTCCTAACATATAGCTCTAAACTAACTCTGTGTAACTATTACAACGGGACCAGCGCACATAATTTAATCCACTATATATCCCGAATAAAAACACCGGTGCTCACTAGTGACACCTAGTGGCGGAGGTTGCAAATAAAAGTTGGGGGTCGATTACCCCTAGCGGGGTCGCATGCTCTCTATTCCCTTACCGTGACGATACATTCTGCGGAAAATTATTCCTACGCTTCGATTGGACATCAAACTCTTCCTGTTTCATTTGTTTCCTAACAGACACTCTTTCACTAATGAAACCAGACAATCGATCGGCTTTTAATTGATTTTATGCAAGAGTACGATCAACAGATCATATATGAAGGCAATGTCAGAAAATGCAACTCCAATTAATTACCTCAGTATTTTTCAGGAACGGCTGTCCAGGAAAATAAAGGAAGATTACACGTATCTCTACACCCAGAATGGAGACGTGATAGGTTTTGTAAAATCATGGAGTCCACTAACAACGGTAAACAGAGAAAACAGTGGGACGACACCTGCATCACGGATGAGAGAATTCGTAAAGAGAGAGACTCCGTAGCGGTATCCAGGAGCCATTCCACCTCACACGTGTTGAGGAGAAAAATCCGGATGCATTCATGGGTGCTTGGAGAAAAACGCCACTTCCATCACCGTCTATATATCTGAGTTGAATGAGGAGTATGGCTGGAGATGCATTTCCGTATGATAATCTGGTCGAAAGGGTAGCACCCCAACATTGTTCCAAACCTCCTGGCGGCTGGGACCAGATTCCAGGCTCCGGACCCAGACCTCGTCTCGTCTCGTCTCATCGTGAAACCGTTGGACAGATGAACTGGAACAAATCTCTGAAATCATTATTAAATATCTGACACCGTGAAAGGTTTGCGATATGTTGTGACCTCCATTTATGATATCTGTTATTTTATGAAATCGGCTCAAAATAGAGGAAAACGGTTCCTCCCAAAACCGGTTTCGTTTACAACCATCGACCATCGAGACCGACCGCTGAAATGTGGTCATTTTTATATGATGGCCATCCGGACCCAGTTTGAAGCGTTTCGCGGTTTTTGGGTCCCACGTCGTCCGGAGTCGTTGGTTCCGTGTCGTCCGCCATTCTCGTTTGTCGCACGACGGGGTCCTTTCAAGTTTCGAACGTCCCTCACGATAATTTAAAAAAAGCTCCTGTTTCCATACTTTCTAAGCCGGAACAGCGGTCACTCCCGACAAAGTGTCCACCTGGATCCACCTGGCGGAGCAACAAGGTGGATAGGAGAAGGAGAAGGCTGAATTTGTTTTCCTTAAAAAGGAAGCGGACAGGATGCATTTGAAGCCAGGTTTGGACGCAAAAAATTTTCATCGCCAAATTTGGAATCTGTCCCCCGAGGCAACCGAGTGCCTCTGGGACGAATGCAACGGCGACGGATTAATAAAAATGATAATGAACGAAATTCCTCTGCTCCCTTAAAGTCTCGAACGAAACGAAGGAGGGAACTCGCCCTCGAATCTTTAAACTTGTACGTTCCTGGGAAAAAAATGTTCTCGTGGTTTTACTGGAAAACGGCCGGCTTCGTCGTGGGAACGATTCCCCTATGATGTCCAATATGCTAATAGCTGGAGTATTTCCATGCATACTTAATTACGTCGATCGATGTCTCTGTCCGTTCGGGCTTCCGCGTCGTCACGCGACACGACTCCGTCGTGTTGGAATCACGACGGGGTCGTGTCCGTTTTCGATCTGCCTTTTTTCTTTTTTTTAATGGTAACGGGAAGAGACCGCGACCATTTAGAAGCCGTGACTGCCGTCGGATTTTAGAACGACGTCACCGAAGCGAAGCCGACGGTGATTTTTTTTCCGACGTCGAACGCGACGCGCCCGTTCGCCACGACGACGAGAGCCGTCGGTCGTTTCGGTACGGTCGTCTTCGAGCTCGCATCGCACGCGTCGGAAGTGGGGAATTCCTCGCGAGACGAGACGCCGAGGCCGAGGGAACCCCTGCAAAAGCGAAGAGATCCGTCCTTTTATCGGCCGTGACGATCGGACGAGGAGGGGGAGGCCACGGCCCGAGGGCAGGAGAACTTGCGGACGCGGACGCAGCCGCCCCGTCCGTTTTCCTCCTCAGTTCTTTCTCGCCTCTCGTGCGTGACGGATCGTCGGACGAGGACGGGACCACGTCGTGCGACGGTTTCCGAACGGCTTCACGCGGAGAAGCAGAAACGTGCGAGGAGAGACGCGCGTACGGATGCGAGACGAACGCGTCCGTGTCCTTCGGGTCCGCATGCGTACTTTCGTACGTGCCTTCGTGCGGATGCGGTCCAGACGTACGCGCGGGTGCGTTGCAGACGCAACGTCCGGGTCCTCGATGCGACGCTCGGAATCGGCACGAGATGGCGGATACGTTCCCCGAGTCGGGACACGCGGCACACGAGGAGAAGAGTTTTCTTCCTTTCCCCGTATCCTTCTCATCTTGGTACTCGTAAAGTAGCGTCTGGTAAACGTATCGTCATCGCGTTTCGACGGTAACGAAAGATTGTGGAAAATTTAAAATGTTGTGGTTTTGCACGAGGACGGCGAAGCGTAAACCGTCGGGTCGAAAGTCGTCGCTCTCGGACTCCCGAGCGGTCGACTTTCGACGAACTTAAAAAGATGGTCCTCGACGATGGCGTGGACTTCCCACCGACCGTATCCGAGATAGCCGGAGAGAGAGAGGGTGCCGTCGACGAGACGCGTCGCACGTCCTCGTCCCGCGTCGTCGAGCC